ATAGTGTTGGGACACATTGTGTCCCCTCAAGGTATAGAGGTTGACAAGGCTAAGGTTGACCTCATTGCAGGCCTTCCTCCACCCAATTCCGTGCGTCAAATTACGTCTTTCTTAGGGCATGCAGGTTTTTACCGTAGGTTCATCAAAGACTTTAGTAAGATTTCACGTCCTTTGTGTAGTTTACTAGTTAAGGACGCGCCTTTTGTCTTTGATGAGGCATGCTTAAAGGCATTCGAAACACTAAGAATGGCATTGACCACCGCCCCAATCATGAAATCACCAGATTGGTCGTTTCCCTTCGAATCATGTGTGATGCCTCCGATTATGCTGTCGGGGCTGTGTTAGGCCAAAGGGTCAATAAGGCACCATTTGCTATATACTATGCTAGTCACACTCTCTTGGATGCTCAATTGAACTACACTACTACCGAGAAAGAGTTGCTAGTTGTGGTCTTTGCCTTAGACAAATTCCAGCCTTATCTCCTAGGTTCCAAGGTCATAGTCTTCACTAATCATGCCGCTTTGCGATATTTACTATCTAAGAAAGAGACCAAACTTAGGTTGATTAGATGGATTTTGTTGCTTCAGGAATTTGATTTAGAGATCCGTGATAAGAAAGGATCTGAGAATGTGGTGGCGGATCATCTCTCCCGAATCCTCGTTGAGTATAATAGTGCCCCTCTTATTTTGCATGATTCGTTTCCAGACGAACAACTTTTTGAGCTGTCACAAGCGAGCCCCCCGTGGTTTGCACATATTGTGAATTACTTAGCCATTGGACAAATTCCACAGAATTGGTCTAAGCAAGACAAAGACCGATTCTTTTCGCAGGTCAGGTATTACTTTTGGGAGGATCCGGAGTTGTTTAAATATTGCTCCGACCAAGTGATCTGACGGTGTGTGCCGGAGAGTGAGGTGCATAGCATTCTTGCATTTTGTCATTCTTCTGCATGTGGCGGTCATTTTAGTGGGCATAAAACGGCCGCCAAGATTTTACAGAGTGGGTTTTATTGGCCCACAATTTTTAAAGATGCCCATCAATTTTGTAGAACTTGTTTGCTCTATCAGCAAATGGGTTCGATGTCTCGGCGTGACATGATGCCAATGTCCCATATTCTTGTGGTAGAAATATTTGATGTGTGGGGGATTGATTTTATGGGCCCTTTCCCATCGTCGTTCGGGTTTGAGTACATTCTTTTGGCAATAGATTACGTGTCTAAGTGGGTGGAGGCAATAGCTACCCGAACAAACAATCATAGAGTGGTAATCAAGTTTTTGCATGAAAACATCTTTAGTCGTTTTGGGTTTCCTAGAGCCATAATAAGTGATCGGGATACACATTTTTGTAACCGGTTCTTTGAGTCGGTAGTTAAGAAATACTCTATCACTCATAAAGTTGGCACTCCATATCACCCTCAAACTAGTGGCCAAGTGGAAGTCTTAAATAGAGAGGTAAAACACATAATTGAGAAAACGGTGAGACCGGATACGAAAGATTGGTCACAACGGTTAATTGATGCATTATGGGCTTACCGCACTACTTATAAGACACCCATTGGGATGTCACCATATAGGGCGGTGTTTGGCAAAGCTTATCATCTCCCGGTTGAACTTGAGCATCGAGCATTGTGGGCCATAAAGAAGTTTAACTTCGATATGGCCGCGGCTGGGCTCAATCAGAAATTGTAACTCAATGAGCTGGAGAAAATCCGGAATGATGCATATGAGAGTTCGAGAGTTTTTAAAGCTCGAACTAAAGAATTCCATGACAAGTACATTAATAGAAAATCCTTTGAACCCGACCAAAAACTGTGGCTTTTTAATTCAAAATTGAGACTATTTCCGGATAAGCTAAGATCAAGATGGGACGGCCCTTTTGACGTTGTTAAGGCATTTAGTCATGGCGTCGTTGAGGTGCGAGATCCAAAAACTGGCCACACTTTCAAAGTGAATGGCCAAAGATTGAAACCATATATAGAGGGGATTGGGAATGGGGATATGATTGAGTCCATTGTTTTGATGGACCCATTTTACTATGATTGATAGATTGATTTCTTGTTCCCTTTTCTTTCCCTTCTACGCTATTATGTTTTTCTTTGTTCTCGTTATACTTTACTTGCATCTAGGAGACTTTAAATCCTCTAAAGGTGTAATTCCTTTAGTGTTTGCCGTGCCCAAACGGCATCTGACGGTCTGGTATAGCCACCTAACCGTATTTGTAGTGAGTTCCTAGGAGACCAACTGAGACGGTGGAAACTAGAGTTCGAATAGCAAAGCCTAGAACACAAAGGTTTGGGATTTTCGAGACTAGAGTCTGGTTTAAATACTCAGGGGTATGGAGATTGCTTCAAAACTACCTCGGCTTGAACTCTGTATGGCAGCCCCATAGGTTGAGGTAGCTTTATGCGCCTCAATTCTAGATACCGAATAGTCTGTCACCCTGTTGGAAAATAGGGAAAGCTACAAACACAGTTAGGGAGAAAAGTAGTACCCGTGGTTTTCGCGTGAAGATTATACCTTTAGTGGGCCTTCCGTAAAAATAAAAAAATAAAAAAAAAGTGGGAATCGCAGCACGTGCAGGAAAAATTAGCAAAACAAATGTTGAGCACTGCTAAATAAGCAAGTGCGGGGAGTGGCGTGCGTTGACCAGCCGCACGTGCGGTTTGACTCCCGCACGTGCGGGACGCCGATTTTCCAAAAAAAAAAAATTTGCGAGGAGGAGAAAAATCGCCCCACGTACGGCCTTGACCCCGCACGTGCGGGAAATTGGCAATTTGAAGAAGTTGCACTCTGCTTTAAAAGCAGGTGCGAGGCAAGGTGCAATCTCTCAAACTTCTCTCTCTCTCTCTCAACCCCACACAAACCCACTATCTTACATCTTCTTCTTCTTTCCCTTTTCTTCTTCTTTCTTCTTCCTCACCACTATCACCTCACCGTCGGCACCACTTCCCTCTCCATCCGACGAAACTCCGGCGACCACCATTTTTTTCCGGCGAACCTCCATTCTTTTTCTTTCTTTCTCCACTTTTTCAAGGTAATTTTTTTCTTTTGCGTAGATTTGTGAATGTAGGAATCAATTTGTGGAGTTTTTGATTTTGTTTTTATTTTTTTTATTTTGATCTAGTGTTCATCCTAAAAAAAAAAAAAATGCTTAGCCATGACTGATTTATTTCTTTTTAGTATTTTTAGTGGTCATTATGATTTTTTTTTAAATTTTTTTTTTGTTCCTTTAGTTCGAGAATGCATGTTTATTAGTTTGAGCACCGCACATGCGGCCCTTTACGGCGCACGTGCGAAAAAAAAAAAAAAAAAAAAAACCCCTTAAATTTTGACCTCATAAATAATGGTACTTCCAATAATCCTAATTTAGTTTTTTTTTTTTTTTTGATTTGTTATATTTGTTTAGTTTAAATTGCTTCGTAGTGATTCTGGTTAGTTTAATTAGTTAGTAAAAATTGGTTTTATTTTTATTTTTCTTATACTTGTGTAGTTAGTGATTTTATTTTTGATCTTATTCTGTGATGTCATTGTTCATATAATTACTAAGTAGTTTAGTTTTTCTTTTATTTATTTTTTGAATTTTTATTTAATTTTCTTCTCTTCAATTAAAAAAAAACACAAAAACACAAAAACAAAAAAATAACTACAAAAAAATAAAATAAAAGAATGTTTAGTTTTGGCTGTTTTATTCTATATTTTACTCTATTTTGTAGTTTAGTTATTTTATAGATTAGTTTAGTTTAGTTTATTTTATAGTTTAGTTAATTTAATTTAATGTCATTTTACTTCATTTATTTCATTAATTTCGTTTTTTATATAATAATAAAAAAAAAAAACAAACAAACAAACAAACAGTGGGAATTGCATGTGGTACATTAGTGGGCAAATTTGTGCTTTCATATTTTATTTGATTCTCATGTTGGTTTCACGGGTATCTATATTTATTGTTGGTGTGTGCAGGATATGCGTCGCCGTGTCTCTGCTCGGGCCTCTAAAACGGCTAGGGGTACCTCCTCTTCGGCGCCACCATCACCACCGTCACCACCATCCTCGCCACCACCACCAGGTGACTTGCCACGGCCGGAGTGGGCTTCACGCCCTCTTCACAAGCTCACGCAGTTCAACCTGCAATTTTTCCAGCGTGACGAGGACACTACTTGGGCCATTGAGCAGCTCCGACTCCGGAAACAGTTGGGCACTTACGCTGTGACCACGCCCACTTATCCTCGTCTGGTACGACTATTTTACCAGAACCTACATGAGACACCCACTGCGGTTGGACTGCTCTCTAACATTGATGGTCATGTTGTCCACATCACCTCAGCCATGATTGCCACAGTGTTAGAGTTTTTCGCCAAACCAGAATATCAGCCCTTCCTGGAAGTTGAGGATCGACAACCCATACATCGCCTCATCCAGCAATACTTCTCGGGAGCCCACGGTGACAACAGTTTCACATGCTTGCGGCGGAGCAAGCTACCTAGCCGCTTGCTTTTCCTTGATTCTGTGGTCCATAAGAATGTCCTTCCACTTGGGCATCGAGCTGAGCGCCGTTTGGAGTTTGTGCGGGTTTTACACGGGTATCAACTTGGCTATCAAGTCCCGCTTGAGCATTTCATTTGGATGCATTTGCCGAAATTTCTACGTGAGGCAATTCGGCCTACTCCTATGCAGAACCTGACTTGGCCATTACCATTCGCTAATTTGTTGACACTTGTGTTTGAGCAGAACCACCTCCTCATTGCTGAGGATGAGGAGATTGATAGAGGGTATCCGACTTTCGGCCAGTGGGAATGGCAGCACAGCATACCTCGCATCCCGCAGCCGGTTGATGCCCCAGTTGATGAGGCCCAGGACCCCGTACATGACCACCCAGCTCATCCTGTTCCCCTCGTGCCTCCCCAAGGGGACGCACTCTACATGACTTGCGAGGAGTACTTATAGCTTCAGCACTCTGTCGATCAGGCCCACCGTACTCTTCGTGATCACCACCAGAGTCTCATGGAGTTGCGCACGGATTTTCAGGCGCATTGCAACTATTCTCAGGTGCGCTTCGATCAGCTACACGCCGACAACCTCGCCATCCGGCAACAGGGTCAGGATGACGCCTTCGAGACGTGCGCTTTGATGCAAGCCTTGTTTGCCCAGCATTTCCCCCCCCCACCACCACCACCGGCTTCTCCCACCACCACCGGCTTCTCCGTAGTTCCCGCCTGTATGCTGCTTTGTCTCTTTTATTTTTCTTTTTATTTTCCCTTTTCTTTTTCGTTTTTTCTTTTCTTCAAAAAAAAAAATATATATGAAGTGTGTATATGTTACTCTCTGCCTACCTGGATGTGCACCTACAATTCTGGTAATATTCTCTCATTTCTCTTTCCTTTTCCATTGAGGACAATGTCATATTCAAGTTGGGGGATGAGGGTTATATTTTCTTTTGTGCATTGCTATTTGGCTCATAATTCATGCTTATACATGTTCACTTGATTGCATTACTTCACTTGATGTGACTTTTTCCTAGTAGGGTGAAGATATTTGCATATGTTAATTAGAGAGCATAGTAGACTTGTATGAAAAGGGTTTATTGGGTAGATACTTGCATGCCATGTTTGCACGAGGAGAGTTGTCTATGTTTGTGGTATTAGTACACTTGTCATGAGTATGTCTTAATTCACATGAACACACCATCATAGCGGTGATCTTTTTATTATAATCCCTGGTATACATCATTGATAATAGCTAGAGTTGCAGAAAAGAATAAATGAGGAGCCAAGATTCGAAAAAAAAATAAAAAAAATAAAAAATAAAAAAATAAAAAAACTTGACTAGTTTGGGTTCGTAGCCTTTTTAACTCGAGTTATGAAACCCGTAGGGGTGTCTCTATACCTAATGCCTTAAAAGCGTCTGGTTTGGGAGTCATTGGCCCAAAACTTGCTACATGGGTTAATTAGAAAGCTTAATGGACTTGGACATTGCACAGTGAAGGACAAATAAGAAGAATGACTAATTAGGATTCGTAGCCTTTTCAACTCGAGTTATTAAGCCCGTAGGGGTGTCTCTACACCTAATGCCCTAAAACCATCTGATTTGGGAGTCATTGGCCCAAAACTTGCTACATGGGTTGATTAGAAAGCTTAATGGATCAGGACATTGCACAGTCATAAAAAAATAAAATAAAATAAAATAAAATAAAAACTTTTGAGAATCTTGGCTACAACAGGTTAGTTTTTCTGTATATGTTGGGTGTTATTATGAGTTACACTGGGCTATTATAGTGGATAGTTAACTAATATGGAGATTGCACTTTACACCGAGGGTACTCATGACTTGTCTACTAGCATGCACAAGTATAGGGAACTTTACTTTCGTATTAACTGAATTGTGGTTTCGACTCAATAGGTTCCTTCATGCTTGTCCACTGTGCCTTTAATGACTCATGATGTCTCAATATCACACTGTAGTGGCACATAAGTTGATTGTTAGGTGGAGTAGTGTGGTCATTTGTTGTTAAGTATATATGAATATGTTAATGTTTGTGGGTATCATTTCTGGAAACCCTCACGAGACTTTACTCGTCCACTTGGGGTAACCTTGTGGTTTAAAGGCTTGTTGCATATGCTAAATGCAACCGTTTTCCCACGAAAGAGGAAATAGATAGATCTTGTTTAATTTTATTTTATTTTACTTGCTTGAGGACTAGCAAGTAGTAAGCTGGGGGATGTGATTAAGGCCGAAATATACATCATTGAGGCCGTTAATTAGAATCTCTTAACTTCACTTGCTGGTCAAACTGTATACTTTATGTGTGTTGAGTGTCAATCAGGTTGTACATCGTCGGAGCATAAAATGAGCAAAAAGACAGAATTTGGGCAGAGTTGACTTTCCCGCACGTGCGTTGACGTTTTTCTGGGAAAGTCAAACTGACATTTTAAACCTGTTTGGACGAGATTGGAAGGATAAAAAGGCAAGTAAAAGGCTGGATTAGGGTTCTGAAATTGTTTGGACCTAAAGAGGGAGGCTAGGGTTTGCAAAAGGAGGAAGAAAACAAGAAGCTTCAAAGATGTCTCCCATGGTAGACTTTCGACAAATCTTACTAGTTATACCCAAAGGAGTTCATGAGCAAATTGTGAATGCATTATTAAAACACTCTGTTATATCTTAACTTTGAATTTGAATATGTGCTTGAATCATGGAGACCAAGAAAATGCTATTTTTGCAAATTTCTTGATGAAGGTAACACTACTTTAACCTTTTTCTTTATTATATAGGTTATCTTAAATTAATAAATTGTGTTTACACTCATATTCAATTTTCATTATCTCTTCGAATATTTGACTTTCTGTGATTGTTGAATGTTATCCATACATGAGTTTTCTATTCCTTCACATTCAAGGTATGTGACGAACCATGCTACGAGGAACGAGTCGTATCACTACCTTAGTTTAGAGTGAACGATTCGTATTACTTGAGATGGTTCGTGCTCGTACATTGAATGTGATGAGCTTCTTGTTAAATGCTTTGAGCTTGTAGTTGCGAAGCATTAATCCGTTCAAACCATAGCATAATTGATTTCAATTGGAAACCTAATTATGTGGTTAGTGGTGAATTCTCTACCTTAGGATTTTTCCCTAATTTAGTAAACTCAATTTCATTTATTATTGATAATTTAATTCCTTAATTTAATTTATTCGTTATTAAATTAGGTTATAAACAATCAATCTTTTATTCAAAATTAATTTAGGAATTTGACAATTAAATTAGTTTAATTTCACAATAGTCCCTGTAGATCGATACCTGAACTTGCCATTATTCTGGTTGAATTTGATATCGTTTAGTATTTAATTTTGGTGTGTTCAACGACCCATCAATAGCTGTGAGTCTCATTTAATGTGCTGTTTGTTTACAAAGTTGAGGAAGGGACTGCTAAACCAAAAGGTTTAGGATAGGCCTTGCAGATGGGATTCGGATGGGCCTTCAGGACTTGGTATTAGAAAAATAGTCAGGCGAACTAGAAATTTTTTATTTTTATTTATTTTTTACATGTTGGGTATTTTTTTTTTTTGAACAGTAATGTTTAATTTTTTGTATTTTTTATTAAGTAAAAATCATTATTTTATTTATTTTATTTTTTTCTGAAATTATTTTATTTTATTTTATTTTTATTTTTTTAAAATTTTTTACATGTTTGGCATTTTTTTTAAAACATTAATGTTTAATGTTTTTGTATTTTTTTTTGTTTTATTATTTTATATTTATTTTATATAAAAATAATTTAACAATCCCTACACTAACAACTATCATCAAAACAAATACAATTTTACTTAATCCCCTCACTACTATCAATTCCCTCACTATTAATCCCCTCACTATCAATCCTCTCTATTCTACCTCTGAAAACAAACGGGGCCTCAAAGTCATGGGCGTAACATGACTATGGTTGCAGACAAGCTAATATAAAAAATAAATTTTTTTATTAATTTTTTTGGGACAACCGATTGCTGTTGAGTACATGGATGAGGTCTGGAATTACAGAGCTCCATTGTTGCCCTTTGATTCTTACCGGAAAGCTCACTTAGGTTCTAGGCGCTGTTTGGGCCGACAATGTCTACCACGGTCTCGTTTCAATGATCCGAACGATTCATTTTATCGGATATTTTGTGTATTTCATTCACACACAAAAATTTAAGTCAATCTGATAATCGTGGCAAATTCAATTTAACGTATTTGTTACCAAAAAAAGGATAACAATTATATTTTTAAAAATAAATTATTTATTTTTTAGTGACAAACGCAATAAATTGAATATGTTACGATTATCGGATCGATTTAATTTTGTGTGAATGAAATATACAAAGTGTCCAACCAAACAAATCAAATCATTAAGACGGGAGCACTGGACAGAATCCATTTCTTTTGTAGAACAACATTTACCATTTTTCTTGATTTATTCCCAAACAAACACAATCTATCCGTAATTGAATAGTGCCACATTATACTAACCGCTTTGTCTATTAACAGATCTACAGATAAATTTGAATGGACTTTAATAACCTCAATGAGGGTATGAATTTACCATAAAGCCATATGTTCTTCTTTCCCTCTTGATTTTCTTTTTCTTTTTTTTTTCCTCTCACTTTACCTTTTCTCTCTCATTTCATCATACATACTCACCATTGCCACCTCTTTCCTGTCACACATCCATCATCATAACTAGACCATACAAAACTCCATCACTACTGCCAATCAAAAAAGCACCATTAAAATATGCCCTCTCACATCTTTAAGAAAAGAGGGAATTATTTTTAAAACGTATATCATTTTTTCAGAAGTTGACTATCAAAAATCATAGGGAGAATTAGATGTAGGTAGAAGAAGAAAAAAAAAATTTAAAATCATACAACTGATATTACGTTTTTTATTTACATTCCACCATAGGCACTTACACTTTATGCCTTTGTAATTTTTTTCTCTTTCTCCAACAATTTTCCAAAATCATAACAAGGACTATTAAAAAAATAGACGCTAATATTATATGCACTAATTAGTACACTAACTAATGTACTAATTGATGATGTAACACAATTTAAGATATTTTTAATATTTATATTTTGAATAATAAATGAGATTAATAATAGAGAGCTTTTTTAGTAAATCCATTATCTAAGAGTGTTGTTCCATGAAACCCATACTGTTTTATGATATTCCATTAGGTCCATTTTATACAAAAAGACCAAAAAAGCCCTAAAAAAACATGCGCCCCTCTCTCTCTCTCTTTGAATCTAATAACCGTTTCTCTTCCCTTCTCTATTCTTGCGCAAGAAATCACGCGCAGTACCTCTACAGTCCAGAAATCCAAACCATATTCCACATCGCCTCGACGCCCCGAAGACTGTATTCCTTCCATCGTTGCATCGTCGCATCGTCTCATCATCTTCTCCCCATCCCTACGTCGAGAAGCCTCTCTTCGTTCGATCGTCACATCGTCTCATCATCTTCTTCGCCGTTCGTACGCCCAGAAAACTGTATACGTTTCTTCGTCGAATCGTCCCTTCGTCTCAACATCTTTGTCGTCGAAATGGGCAAAAAACGTAAGCATTCATTTATTCTGAACCCCTCAATCGTAATCCCTAAATTTTTTCATTTTTGCACTCAAAAACATTACACTTGCCATTACATTGTGTTCACAACTGTCAACAATCGAAAATGTTCTGGTTGTAGTTGTTGTTATTGAAAAATGTGAACATTCACATTGATTGGAAATGGTTTGATGATCAAATTATTCCAGATGTTACTCCGTTGTTGTTCAATGCTGTGACCATTCACATGGTTTCAAAAAAATTTTGGCCAGTTCTTTTTTTGTTGCTGTTGGTAACAGATATGAACATTCACATTGAGTTAAAATGTTTGCGTAATCAGGTATTAATGGTGTTGTTGTTGTATGCTGTGAAAATTCACAAGCATTGACACACTTTGGCCAATTCTGTTGTTGTTCTTGTTGTTGGAAGATGTGAACATTCACATTGCCTGAACATTGTAGGACAATTAGATATTATTGGTTTATGTTGTTATAGGCTGTGAACATTCGCATTGCCTGAAAATTTTTGGACAGTCAGATATTTTTGGTGTTTTTGTTCTATGCTGTCAACATTCACATTTGCTGGAAATTTTAGGAGAGTCACATGTCGGTGGTGTTAATGTTCTACGATGTGAACATTCACATTGCCTGAAAGTTTTAGTTCAATCAGATGTTATTGGTGCTTTTGGGCTAGGCTGTGAACTTTCACATTGTCTGGAAAATTTGCCTGAAAATTTAGGACATTCAGGTATTATTGGTGTTGTTGTTCTATGCTATCAACATTCACATTTGCTGGAAATTTTAGGAGAGTCAGATGTCGGTGGTGTTAATGTTCTACGAGGTGAACTTTCACATTGCCTGAAAGTTTTAGTTCAACCAGATACTATTGATGCTTTTTGGCTAGGTTGTGAACATTCACATTGTCTAAAAATTTGCCTGAAAAATTTAGGACATTCAGATAGTATTCGTGTTGTTGTTCTATGCTGTCAACATTCACATTTCCTGGAAATTTTAGGAGAGTCAGATGTCGGTGGTATTAATGATATACGATGTGAACATTCACATTGCCTGAAGGTTTTAATTCGATCAGATATTATTTGTGCTTTTGTTCTACTGTGAACATTCACATTGTCTGTAAAATTTGCCTGAAAATTTAGGACATTCATATATTATTGGTGTTCTTGTTCTACGCTGTCAACATTCACATTTCCTGGAAATTTTAGGAGAGTCAGATGTCGGTGGTGTTAACGTTTTACTATGTGAACATTCACATTGCATGAAAGTGTTAGTTCAATCAGATATTATTGGTGCTTTTGCTGTAGGATGTGAACATTCACATTGTCTGAAAAATTTTAGTTGAGTCAGATATTATTGGTGCTGTTGTTCTATGCTGTCAACATTCACATTGCCTGCAAATTTTTGGATAGTCAGATGTCGGCGGTGTTAATGTTCTACCATGCGAACATTCACATTGCCTCAAAGTTTTAGTTCAATCAGATATTATTGGTGCTTTTGGGCTAGGCTGTGAACATTCACATTGTCTGTAAAATTTGCCTGAAAATTTAGGACATTCATATATTATTGGTGTTCTTGTTCTACGCTGTCAACATTCACATTTCCTGGAAATTTTAGGAGAGTCAGATGTTGGTGGTGTTAATGTTTTACGATGTGAACATTCACATTGCATGAAAGTGTTAGTTCATTCAGATATTATTGGTGCTTTTGCTGTAGGATGTGAACATTCACATTGTCTGAAAAATTTTAGTTGAGTCAGATATTATTGGTGCTGTTTTTCTATGCTGTCAACATTCACATTGCCAGCAAAATTTTTGGATAGTCAGATATTGTTGGTGCTGTAGTTCTAGGCTGTGAACATTCAAATTGCTTGAAAATTTTAAGAGAGTCAGATTTTATTTGTGCTGTTGTTCTATGCTGTGAACATTCAAATTGCTTGAAAATTTTAAGAGAGTCAGATTTTATTTGTGCTGTTGTTCTATGCTGTGAACATTCAAATTGCTTGAAAATTTTAAGAGAGTCAGATTTTATTTGTGCTGTTGTTCTATGCTGTGAACATTCAAATTGCTTGAAAATTTTAAGAGAGTCAGATTTTATTTGTGCTGTTGTTCTATGCTGTGAACATTCAAATTGCTTGAAAATTTTAAGAGAGTCAGATTTTATTTGTGCTGTTGTTCTATGCTGTGAACATTCAAATTGCTTGAAAATTTTAAGAGAGTCAGATTTTATTTGTGCTGTTGTTCTATGCTGTGAACATTCAAATTGCTTGAAAATTTTAAGAGAGTCAGATTTTATTTGTGCTGTTGTTCTATGCTGTGAACATTCAAATTGCTTGAAAATTTTAAGAGAGTCAGATTTTATTTGTGCTGTTGTTCTATGCTGTGAACATTCAAATTGCTTGAAAATTTTAAGAGAGTCAGATTTTATTTGTGCTGTTGTTCTATGCTGTGAACATTCAAATTGCTTGAAAATTTTAAGAGAGTCAGATTTTATTTGTGCTGTTGTTCTATGCTGTGAACATTCAAATTGCTTGAAAATTTTAAGAGAGTCAGATTTTATTTGTGCTGTTGTTCTATGCTGTGAACATTCAAATTGCTTGAAAATTTTAAGAGAGTCAGATTTTATTTGTGCTGAAGATGAAAATACACAACAGCGACATCAAGCTGATTTTCGGTGTGGACTGTGGCAGCAAGCCAATGGACATAACATACGGTGCGAAACCAAAGACTGGCATTGTAAACAGAAGATGCAAAAACGTCAGCCGGTTGACTTCAAAATGGATACAAACCCTTTTGACCGAGGCATTGAAAGGAAAAAAGAAAGATGACAACGAAGAAGTTGCCCGACTAGTGTGCATGTATGCTTGCCAGAAGCTTTTTTTCTCAACAAGCGGAGAGACAATAGGATGGGGCTACTACGCACATATGGTCCCACTGGAAAGCATGCAAGAATATGATTGGGCCAAGCAAATTAGGACAATGTTGACATCGTCTATTTCCCAAAATGACAAAAATCCAGCAAAAGTCACCGGCTGTGTCATGTTATTGATGGTAAGTACCCATGTTTTCCAATAATGACATTGAAATGTCCTCCGGTGTTTTTCATCTAAGCCAACTGTCAACATTGGCATCTGCACCTCTGATGTGAATGTCCGTAGGCAATTATATTTCACAGATGTGAATGTTCACATCTGAACCACTGATGTGACCGATCACATCCACTCATAACATACTACTGTGCATGTTCACAACAGTGCCACAGCACTTACGTTTCTGTCATCATTCACATCAGTGATTCAAATGTGAACAGTATGAATGTTCACATTCAATGATAATGTACCACTCTGAATGTTTACCACACTGCTGTGTAGGCAATTATGTTTTCACTACTGTGAATGTTCACATCTAAAGCAGTGAATGTGACTGACCACATTGACTCATAACATACTTCTGTGAATGTTCACAACAGTGCCACATCGCTCACGATTCGCAGATGTGAATGTTCACATTCAATGATAATGTACTACTGGGATGTTCACAACAATGCCACTGTGATTAAGGTTCACATAGGTTGCCATTACTCTGCAAATGCTAAATAACAATATGCGTTTCTTGTTTTATTGAAGTACTGGTTGTGTGAGCACACAACCGTCCTCCAACCTCACAGACCCAATGCTTTTCCTCGCTGTGTGAAGTGGGATCTGACTGCTTTGCAGAAGAAAATGAAAACCATCTCCTTAGCAGATTTGGGTTTTAATGAGGTAGGGCCTTCAACTAGTGATCAAAACATTCACATTATAACACCACCCAAATATATGCGTTAATTAACATAATTTTTTCATTTTCAGGTTAATGCCGGTGAACTCTTTGCAATCCCAACAGAATTACAAAAGTTCAAGCGTAAAACATTGAAGGTGGAGCCTGAAATTTATGAACCAGGCAGAAAATCTCCCAACATTTCTGACATCAAGGGAGAACAACACAGTGGCAGCAACTCCCACTTTTCTGGGGATGGGGTAGACCTGAAGGACAGTGATGAGGACATTCACATTCCATTTAGCAGCCAACATTATGACAGAGCTATTGTAATACCAGACACAAACCAACCTGATATCATTGATGTCCTTATCCAAGAAAATCGGAAGGCTTGGGGCGTCATAAGGCAATGGGAAGCAAAGTACAAACACCTTCAATTTTCATGGGAGTTGAGGGCAAGAGTCATAGCTGATCTTGAACATAGATTGTTTAACCAGTCCAGCCCACCCAACGTGAATATCGAAATGAAGAAGTCCATGGAGCAGAAGGATCAAGAAATCAAACGCTTAACGCAGCTGGTCATCGACTTAGAATGCGATAAAACAATTCTGCAGGATCTTTACGATGACCAGTCAGTCCACATTGTCACACAAGCTATGTCAGAAAGGCAACCCCCTAGCCCAATGCAACACAATATCAGCCCACCTTCTAGGGTCAAGCGTATAAAGGAAAAAGATCGCAAAGAACATCGACTGCCTGACTTCCAATACCCAGATTTACCTGGCCAAAAGCAGCCCCCTCCAGTAGAAATGGTTGAAGATGAGGAGGAACACCCACCAGCGAAGCAGCCAAAAAAATTATCCTTCACCAAGAAGTTCAAAGTCTGGGCCAAGATGTCCAAACATGACAAACAAAAGGTCCAAGCTTTACAAAAAAATGGAGGCGATGAGTAAGTGACTGTGCAAACATCCAATGTTAACATTCACATTCCGTAATAGTCTATATTCCTAACTGTGTTCAGTTTTTTTGGGTTGTTGAGATATATGCAATGTGAATATTTACATTGGTTTGTTAATAATGCACAGGCTGCTGGTGTGGAAAGGAGATTCGAAGGCTACACATGTGTATTTTGATGACATTGTCAACCTTATCAAGGAGGAATCAATACACAGCAATGTATGCCATTACAAATATAATTCAGTCTTCATGCATATGCACACACAGACACACACACTCTCACATCCACAAAATCTATATAATATGACCCCATGTTTGTGCAGCTCATAGATGCATATGCTGAACTGTTGCATGAACAACAAGAGGTGGTCAACCCAACTTCTGATGAAGCCTCATTGATCTTCACGAGCATGTGTTTGGTAAAATCCATCATTCCTTTACTTGTAATGTGACTGTGAAACTTCACAGTCCATTAATTATTTGTCAAATGTGTACAGAAAGTGATACGAGAGTACCATCCTCGCAAAAGGAGTAAACACATTGACGCACATGTCAAAAACTACCAAGGAGAGAGATACCTACTATTCCCATTGCATCATGAGTACCACTAGACGATAGTTGTGTATGATGCTAAAGAAAATTTGTGGAAGCATTACAACTCGTTGCGCCCAAGAACAGGCATACATGACCCGCATATCGACCAAACACAGGAAATTGTAAGTGGCTATTTTTCAACACAAACATGACTTGTTCTCGTGCATTAAATGACTGTACACACACATATGTTTGTTGGTCCCTAATGTGAAATTCCATACACAGAGGAACTACATTGAGCATGTTGTTACCGTTATTGGCGAGTCATCACCGCTACACACTAAGTTAGCAGGCCAAAATCCAGCACAACCAACCAAAAGTGTTGATGTCTGTCCTCAGCAAGGCGACGACTCGTAAGCCTCACTAAATTTTTTTTCAAATCCTCCATAACCATTATGCAAATATTCCTGTCAACTGCTAATCAAAACCATTTCACATTTACAGAGTGGACTGCGGACCTACAGTATGTTACATCATGCGGGCGCACGTATATCATGAAGAAATTGTGGGCAGCCTCAGTAGTGCAGAATGGTGTGGACTACGAGATTTGTTAGTGCATAGTTTTTTGAATCATAAGAAATCAGAGCTTCCTTAAAACCTATAGGTGGGGGGTGTCCACCTACGAACTAACCAACAGTCGATTTGAATGTTAATATGGAATGCGTTGATATTTTAACACAGCAACTGATTGTAAAACAGTGATACAACATCTGTTAATAGGAAAAAGGCAGCTGCGAATTTTGAACTACTTTTGGTGTTGTTATGTTTTACATATGTGAATGTCCACAGTTGTACCACTAATGTGAATGTTCATAGTCACGTACGATATGCATACTGCTGTGTTGTTGTGAGAAAATTTTTGCGAATGTTTGAACCTGACTGTTGTTTAGTACACATACTTTGTGCAGGAGTGTACACTTGGTCTACGTGACATAATTACGGATCACATACACATGTGTGAATATTCACATTGTGGTTGCTCATAGCAATTGTAAACACTGATGTGAATGTTCACACTCACGTATGATATTCATAATGCCGTGTTGTGATGAGCATTCACTTATGATATTCATATGCATATGCACTAATGTTTACATTCACTTACGATATTCATATGCACTAATGTTTACAGCTATGACTGTTCACAGTTTCAACACTGATGTGAATGTTCATAATCACTTATGATATCCATAATGCCGTGTTGTGATGAGCATATTTGATGCGATTTGTGGAACCAGTTTTCAATGTAATACACATACCTTGTGCAGGAATGTACACATTGTTTGCATGACATCATTACGGGTAACATGAACAGGTGTGAATATTCACATTTCTTTACATTCATAACAGTTGTACATGTTCAGACCATGTCAATCTTCAGCAATGTGAAAGTTCACATCACATCTTATATTCATGTCAACATTGACAACAATAAGGTAAAAACGTCCAACCCATGTGCAAGTTTTCACATAATATGATTCGTTTACGTAAGTGTGAATGTCCACATCATGTATTTATCATTACAACTTTAACAAAAAATCAGTTTCGTACAGAAAAAGAAAATGAAAAGGCACAAATGAAATACTAAGTTTGCCAAACCATTATTTTGCTTGCCAACACAACACAATCTTATTTGTGAAATGAATATAAGAATCCAATGTAAAACACAACGCTAAAATGAAAAATGTACATCCTATATCGGCTCCTTGCATGACTTCCGATTATGGCTCCCCAGCTTGTCACATCTCCCGCACCTTATTTGCTTAAGTTTCTCACCCCTTGATGAGATCCTATTCTTTTTCGGCCTTCCGGGTGGTCTTTTCACAGTTGGCGGGTATATAGTGAAGTCCATGGGATCAAAAGGCAGCTTCTCCACCGATGGTATAGGGAATATGGCACCCGAATACGCTCCACGATATGTCTGTACATGAAAATAATGTTCCACACAATCATTGAGATTGTAGCGGCTCTTCTAAATGGCAACAACAGCATGGTCACATGGGAATCCGTTGATTTGCCATTTGAAGCACGAACATGTACGCCTCGCAACATCAACAGTGACAGATGGTATCGAATGAACTTCAAACACATTCTCATTGGCTTTGCTAACTTGCCAAGACTTGCTGTGATTGAACGAATCCATAAGCCTTGTTTCAAATGTAGGACAAATAAGCTCATTCCATTTGTTTGCTTGGTCACGCCGTCCAGACATTTACCGCATCAACTGAGTACGAATTGTGTCCACCATTTGAGTGATAGGAAGATTACGCGCTTCTTTAATCCAGTTATTAAATGACTCCGCCGCATTGGAAGTCATCTCCCCATAACGCATGCCCCTGCACAATATCACAAACATTTTACACCCCGAAAGTTAACAGGTTTGAACACTCACGTTGACTGATGTGAACATTAACACCATTCGCAGTGGACATTAACATCAACTTACACGATGCACAGATGTGAACACTAACATCAACTTAAATGACAGAATGATGTGAATGTTAACAACAGCAAAATATGACAACTTGTTTGAACATTCACATCATTCAAATGAGTCATTTCTATCAGATGTGAACATTCACATCACTGACATTGAACATGAAACACAATTGGAAGATTTTTACAAATCGTAACTGATAATTCACATCGCTACCATTCTGACTTGCCCAATGGAACACTTTATGAAACTGTTATTACCTGAAGTATGAATTTGCCCAGTGCTCAGGTGCCAAGTCCTTGAAAAAATCATGTGCTCGTTGTTTACCCTCCTCTTTTAATTTTGCAAGCTTTTCATGGAACCCTACCACAGTTGGCTCATAAGCACAATCACCTAAACTACTTACTAGGTAATCCCTGAAGCCATTATCAATTCCTTTCATCCGGTCTCTTAAATTGCTCTTCAAGTGTTGTAAGCCATAACCGTGATGAGCCGATGGGAACACCTTCGACATAGCTTCTAACAGGCCAAGATTACGATCCGAATTAAAAGTAATCTGCCGGTTACCATCAACAACCTTCCCAAGTTCATGCAAGAACCACGACCAATTCGCCATGGTCTCCGAATCAACAACCGCAAATGCAACAGGAAACAGACCTACAACACAACACCAATACACAACTGTTCACAGTATTCCAAAATGAATAGAAAACAATATAAACGAAACAGGTCATGTGAATGTTCAGCAATTGATAATGTGAACATTCACATTAACGCCCATCAATAATTCATTTTTTATTGTTCAGCAACTAATAATGTGACCATTCACAGTAATGTTCATTAACGAATCAACTGACAGTAGTATACACTGATGTGAATGTGAATGTTCACATAACTATCATTAGCAGGCACAGATGTACAATACTGTGAATGGACCAGTGTAAAATAATGTGAATGTTCACATTACAGGCATCAGCAGACACAGATGTGAACATTCACATCAGTGCATACTAATGTCAGTGTTTACAGTACTTATAATTTCTCCATCACTCATTTGTCCATACTATGCATGTCAATGTGAATATTGACATGAATATAGAGGTAAAAAAATTACTAACCATTGTTTCCATCTTTTGCCGTTGCCGCCAGTAGCTGACCTTTGTACTTTCCTTTGAGGAATGTTCCATCCAAGAATAATAAAGGCCGACAAGAATTGAACCCAGAAATACACGCAGCGAATGACACAAAGAAACAACGAAACTGTTGACTACTCACATCATAGTCAATATTGACATAACTCCCCGGATTGTACCGCATCACCGCATCCGAATACCACCGCAGCTGGTCAAACGATAATGAGTGATCTCCATGAATACCAGCCTTTGCTTTCTCCACAGCCAACCATACGACATGGTAACTCATATCTAGCCCATAATCCCTCTTCAAAATAGTCACCACTTCACACGGCCGAGTCAACGGCTTGTCCCTCCCAATTTCAGATATGGTACTCGACACCAAATCCAAACTAACTCGCAGATTTTTTGATGTTCGGACATCCGTACCACAAGTATGCACATCACTTAAACTCTTGATGTAGAAAAAATCATTTGCTCGTTGTGCTCTACAATGTATAGCCCACAAGCAGCCCCTCTCCTCCCGCATCGCACACACAGCAGTAACTCTTGTTGTCTCGTTCTTCACATATGTAAACTGAAACCCACATTGGATGGCGTACTTACATAAAACGTCACGAAATTCTTGTGCACCTCCAACAAACCGTTGTCCCACATGCGTAATACCATTTGCCCAAGGGGTTGACAACAACGCCTTCTCCTTATGGTGGCAAAATCTCCGTAGTGCATCAATATCTTCCTCAATCCCCACACGCAGCGATCCCGAGCTACTTGACTGACCAATATCACTTTTCAACTCAACCACAACTTCTACATGTTGTAGCCCCATTGATTTAGCAAGCAGTAACATGTTCTGAAATTCTTCCTCATTGTCCAAATCACACTTCCTAATCCCAGGTAGTTTACAGAACAGTGAAATAGAACCAGCAGACAACTCATCCCATTTCTCACACAAACACTCCACCAAACGAGAATAACACATTGCGCGGGCAACATTTATTACAGTTGTACTGCAACCATATGTACACACCAACAGCATAAAGGTATCCATCTCCTATAAAAACACAAAAACCACAACAATGAACATTAATATAAATCAATATGAAAATTCACTTTGTGCAGAAAATGGATGAGAACGCGTACAGCCGAAGTGCTAAATCCATGCTTCAGAATACGAAGATGTGAACATTCACATTGTTGTTAACAACATGTCAACATTAAGGAAACATCAAAGTAAAATGACAAAATCAACAATCTTCACATCATATTCGCGCGATGTGAACATTTACATTGAAACAGACACTCTAAATTATATGACACACACAGAGCCTCATTCAGCAAACATCAATTTCAAATGAGAACATCCACATTCTTCACATAATCCACATTAACAAAATGTTAACATCCACATTGACATATATACTATAATCAAATCATCTACAGAGATCCTCATTACGCATGCGTCCAAGTAAAATGAGAACTACACATTTAATCAAAATCGACATGAAAAATCACATTGTGCAAATAATCAAAAATTACTACGTGTACAGTTCAGGTGCTAAATCCATAATTCACAAATACAAAGATGTGAGCATTCACATTTATATTAACAAGATGCCAAAATTGCAAACATCAAAGTAAAAATGAGAACACCAACAAACTTCACATAATATTAACAAAATCTGAACATTTACATTGAAACATACACTCTGAATTATATCACACACGCAGAGCCTCATTAAGTAAACATCAATTTAAAATGAGAACATCCACATTCTTCGCATAATCCACATTAACAAAATGTCAACATTCACATTGCCATATATACTGATAATCAAATCATATACACAGATCCTCATTACGCATACAACTAACTAAAATGAGAACTAACACTGTTCTTCACATAATATGAATGTACTCCCCTCCACAGGACCACGTAAGAAGCATATGATTGAAAAACCAGCACATCCAATTCATATCAATCCAAAAACAGAGCATCTGCTTCATCATACAAATGAACTGAACATTTATTCACAATCAAATTGATACTAACCTTAACCATGCAATCCTACAATCCTCCAGAAAGTCGAACACAACTGATTCGAACTACTTAAAGCTCGGAAAATGTGACAGCCGAACAGCTACCTCTTCGTCATCTTCACTCGCAAACCACAGAACCAGAACCAGACTAGAACACCAACAATGAAACCCTAGCACCACCAATCCTTCGAACGAGTATGCAAAACATAAACGTATCTCTTGGAATTGGATTGATGAAGAAAAACGTAAAATGGAAACTGCCAAACTGAATCACCGAGGAAACAACCACGTAAACAGGCACGTAATATGTAAATACGTATAACACTGTACACATACATATATATATGGAGGCAAAGTAGTCCAGGAAAATATGTTAAATTAGGAAAATGGACCTTATGGAATAAAAAGAAAAGTTTATGGGACTAATCAGGTTATCATATTCTTTTGTGAACTTAATGGGTTATAACAACTCTAGAATGGATTTATCAATAAAAATCTCTTAATAATAATATTATAATTAATATTGATACACTTATTAATACGTGTAATACCACTCAAAAAAATTTCTTACTTGATGTGGCATTTATAACAAAGTCAGAACCTTTAGCTCTTCCAACCATGTAGTTCCACGTATAATTGATGACCATCATTTAATTACCTTAAATATTACAGCAAAATGGCAATTGATTGGAAGTTGTTTTCTTCTCAGAATTTAAAAATATTTATAAAAAAAAAAAAGTATAAATGGAAATAAAGTTTCCACACATGGAACTCCATACTAAAACCCCTCCCATCAGTGCATCTATTTTCCTTACCTAGACCTCCACCTGCAACACCACATACCAAATACCCAGACTGACTTGAAAATTTCAGCAATCTATGATGCAAAGAATTAAATTAAGTTTGACCCATGTACATCAGGTGTTATTGAAGGAATGAGTGGTGATAAGTGGTGTAGTAATGGTTAGATGGAGGAGAAAGAAGATGAGAGTTGGACCCATCTGCAGAAAGTTGGGGTTGGACTCATTTTACAGAGAGTTTGGAAAGACAGAGAGATGGGAAAGATGGAAATTTTGGTTTGATAATCTTAAGGGCACAATTGGCATTACATAAAATATTGTTGTTGACGTCATTTTAGTCTGTTATGTTAACTAACGGTAGATTAAAAGCAATAATATGTAATGCAATTGTTTATCTCAGGGAGGAAATATAATTTTCAAAACCTGAGGAAGAAATATGCATTGTTCAAATCTGAAGGTGTGTCATTATAATTTATCCTTAAAATTTTGGACGGTCTTAAATAAATGTACTTTTTGTCTTTCTGGACTAAAAAATTGTTGAAAAAAATATGGATGTTTAGATTAACTTTTTGACTTTTTATGAAAAAATGTGTATTAAAAAATTGTATAAATTAGTGTGCAGGGAAAAATTAGAATTAGAAGTTGTGCAGCCGTAATTTTTTACTTTTAATGAAGAGTGATAACTTTTTAACTTTTTAAGTAATTTTTTGATTTTTTTACTTTTTCCATACTTGCCGAACTTGGCCTATTCATTTTCATTGTCTGTATGTGACATGATATACTCGCCTTATTTGAAAAGTGAATTATTTTAATTGCTTATTTAATTTTTTAGATATTTTATTCTGGTTAAAAAAATTATATTTAAAAAATTGATTATTTTTTTATAATTGATTTGATAGTTATGAGAGAAAAAATTAAACGATTTTAAATTGAATGTGACATTTTATTTTATTAATTATTTTAACTTATTTTTATCTTTTAGTGACCTATCTTAACCCAAATCTCTTCTCAAATAAAGCCACCGTAAAGAAGAAGAAGAAAAACAAAATGTAAGTAATCCTTAATTTTTTAATTAAAATATGAGATGGAAAAAATTAATATATTTATTATGATTTATTAATTTTTTATGAAAAAATATGTAGATAGTAGAATGAATATAATAAAATAAAAAAAATTATAATTATCAGATCAAGTTAATTTTTTTTTTTTTTGTGGATTATATATATATATGAAGTGTTTTACAAAATAAACGGTTAAGATTATTAAAATAAGATCCATTTTGGGCTCCTCAGATCTTTCAAATTATCTTAAATTGAGATTTGAACTTAAAAAATAGCCCAATCTACAATAATATTATGTGAACACATGAGATAGTACATTAAATAAATATAATAAAATTATAAGGATAAATTGCACTCACTTTCCTTGAGATTTAAAAAAAAAAGAAAAAAAAAGGAGTACAACTAGTTCTATACTTTTAACATTATTATTACACTCTCTTATGGTAAAAAGAAATGATAATATTATTATTTTTATTTGTATAACTAATTACTAATAAAAAATAATTTAAATATTATATAAATTAAAATATTAAAAATAATTAATGTAATTATATTAAAAATGTGAATCTAACTATATTTTCTTCCAACAATCAAGGTGAGTGTAATTTACTCAAATTATAACTTGTCATGGTTAGCATCAATTTCTTGATTAGCAGGCCAAGAAAGAGTCAACAACACACGCATTGAAAAAGAGGTAAAGTTTCATGATCAAAAGGTTTCAATTTTAAGGCCAAGTTTGGGAACACTCCAAAAAGTCAAAAAGTCAAAAAGTTACTCAAAAAGTTAAAAAGTTATCACTATTCACCAAAAGTCAACAATTACGGTTGCACAACTCCCAATTCTAATTTTCTCCTACAAATCAATTTTTACAATTTTTTATTACACATTTTTCCATAAAAAATCAAAAAGTTAACCCAAACATTCATATTTTCAACCTCAACTTTTTAGTCTAAAAAGACAAAAAGTGCACTTATTTAGTCTTCCCAAACTTGGCCTAAGTCTCTCATTTCAAAAGGTTTCAATTCAAAAGAGATTTTGAGTTAGAATTTAAAATAGTTTAGTATCTTCGCAACTTTAACATAATCAATAATATATATAAATACTGAACAATTAAGAATCTGGTAAATTGATTAAATTTTTTAGCATTAAATTTTTATAGACTTATTTTTAGTTAATAAATTAATTTTTTAGCACCCTAAAAATAAAGCCTTAGGCTAATAAGCCAACATGCCTAGTGTGCGCACATCTCACTTTATTAGGCTCTTCACTTATTGCTCTAGTGA